TTTGTTTTGTTTTGTTTCTCCTTCAAATGCTTATTTTGCCTGGTCTTTGGTAGCACTTTGACTACTTCTAAGAAGTTTGATAGTATTTTCTTTTTCTTTTTTTTTTTGGATAGTATTTTCAAGATGGCATTAAATATCGATAAACATAGGCAGAACTGACACTGGCTAATGCTGATTCTTCCTATCCAAGAACAGGAACATCTCAGTTTGCTATGTAAATTTTTGTTGTCATTGCTGGCACTGTGAGTGGACTTCCCCCCCACGCCCCCCCGTCCCAACCGATGATTCTTTGAACATTGGAAAGCTCTTGATTTTTCTACACAGTGTTGTACCCCGTTACCTTACTGAATTCTTTTATCCAGTGGTTCTCGACCTTGAGCCCGCATCAGAATCACCTGGGGGCTTCTTAAAGTACAGACTGGGGACCTCCACTCCCAGAGTTTGATTCAGTAGTTCTGGGGAGGGACTAGAGAATTTACATTGCTAATACATTTCCAGGTGATGCTGCTGTGGCTGGTCTGGGGACCTCACACAGAGAACCACTGCTGTTCATTGTTTCTGATAATCTATGAAGTCTCTGGGAGTTTGCAGCTATTATGATTCTTTTTGTCTGAAAAAAAATTTTGACTTTATTTTATTTTGGCTACATTGGGTTTTCGTTGCTGCGTGCAGCTTTCCCTAGTTGCTGCGAGCGGGGGCTACTCTTTGATGTGGGCTTCTTATTGCAGCGGCTTCTCTTGTTGTGGAGCATGGGCTCTAGGCACGCGGGCTCAGTAGTTGTGGCGTGTGGGCTCTAGGGCACATGAGCTTCAGTAGTTGCGATGCGTGGGCTCAGTAGTTGTGGTGCATGGGATTAGCTGCTCTGTGACATGTGGGATCTTCCCGGACCAGGGATCAAACCCGTGTCCCTTGCATTGGCAGGCAGATTCTTAACCACTGCACCACCAGGGAAGTCCTTCCCTTTATTTTTGAAGGATTGTTTTTGCTTTTTATTTTTTTTAAAGATATTTTGACATTTTCCCCCTGGTACTTTAAAGCATCTTCGTGTTACGTTTTGGCTTGTGTGCTTTCTTTTTTTTTTCCCCCCAGCTTTATTGAAATATAATTGACACATAAGATTGTGTAGTTTAAGGTGTACACTGTGTTGATTGCAGCTATTATGATGGCATACCTGGAAATAAGGATAATTTCCCTACCTGATTTCTAGACCTTTCATTTCTTCCTCTTGATTAATTGTATCAGCAAATACTTTCCGAATTTTAACAATAACGATGCATCCTTCTTATTCTGACTTGAATGGAAATGCATCTAGTCTTTTATACATTAAGTGTGATGCTGGCTTTTGTTTTGAGATGTTTCATATATATATATATAAGTATACACTTTTTATGCAAAGAAAGTACCCATTTGTATTTGTTATTAAGACTGTCAAGAGTAGATGTTCAATTTTATAAAAAGCTTTTTTTTTAGCATCCATGTTTTTCTTCAGAGTTATTAACAAGAAATACCAAATTCTTCTAAATATTAAGGTTCCAAATACTGAGCCATCTTTGTGCTTTTTAAAAAAATTTTTTTTTAAATTTTATCTATTTATTTATTTTTGGCTGCATTGGGTCTTCATTGCTGTGCGTGGGCTTTCTCTAGTTGCAGTGAGTGGGGGCTACTCTTCGTGGCGGTGTGCAGACTTCTCATTGCAGTGGCTTCTCTTGTTGCAGAGGATGGGCTTAAATAGTTGTGACATGCAGGCTCAGTAGTTGTGGCGCACGGGCTTAGTTGCTCCGTGGCATGTGGGATCTTCCCGGACTGGGGCATGAACCCGTGTCCCCTGCATTGGCAGGCGGACTCTCAACCACTGCGCCACCAGGGAAGCCTGAAACTGTCACTCTTAATGTGTTCATTCAGTTGGCCTATGTTTAGTGTTTTTGTGGCAGTGTGTATAAATGAGTTGGTCTGTGGTTTCTTGTTTTGTTTTGGTCAGATTTTATGTAAGTCACGCTTTAAAATTGTGCTGGCCTTACAAAAATAATTTAGAATCTTTCTTCCAGGTTCTAGAAAATGCAAATGAAAGGAGTTCCTTAAAGTTTGGGTAGAATCCATCTGGTATTTCTTGGTTTGGTGGTGGAGGGAAGGGGTTAATTATTGATAACCTTATCCTTTTTTTTTTTTTTTAATCATCTGGGTTGTCTGAAACCTCTGCTGGGATCAGTTTTGATGATTTTTTATATTTCTTAGTAAATTTTCCACATCATTTAAGTCTTCAAATTAATTTACATAGAATGACTGAAATATTTGAAATTTTTCGTAGTTGTAGATTTTTTTCAGTGTTTTCCTTTCATTTTTTTCCCTAGGTTAGGTTCTACCAATTTTGTTTTGTAGTTAATATTGTTTTTATATTATTGTTGCTGCTTTTTTATATTTATTTTTCATTTTCATTTTTTTGAGTTGATTATTAAATGACTAAATAAAGAGAGTAAATGAGAATATATGGGGCTACTACTTTTTTTCTGTGAGCTCTGCTTTACCTTGTGGCATGACCATTGCATTTACAGATTCTGATTGGCGTGTGTGTGATGAGCTTCCAGGTTTTCTGTAGTTCCATTTTGATTTTTTCTTGGGCCCAAGAGTTTTACAATTTTGGTGTGCTAGAGAATTTCTCCACAGCATCTTTTGTGGGTTTTTTTTGCAGTACGTGGGCCTCTCACTGTTGTGGCCTCTCCCGTTGCGGAGCACAGGCTCTGGATGCGCAGGCCCAGCGGCCACGGCTCACGGGCCCAGCTGCTCCACGGCATGTGGGATCCTCCTGGACCGGGGCACGAACCCGTATCCCCCACATCGGCAGGTGGACTCCCAACTTTTGTGGTTTTGTCGAACAGTGATTAGAGAGGTCGACTGTATCACATCTACTTCCTGGAATCAGTCGAGGTTTCAGTGGTGTCCTTACGTGGCAGGTTAGTGATGAGTGAGGTCACCTGTATCTACTTTTTGAGATCAGTTTATTTCCTTGCTTGTGGTCAGTTAAGAGTCTCCTAGTGAAGTTTCTGTGTTTTTCCTAAATTTCCTCTACTGTGCTCTATGAATTTGGATGTTGTGTTGGTACATACCCAGGCCTATTAGATTTTCGGTGGTGGTTATGTCTTATTAAATTCCCTTCTTTGTCTCACTGAATGCTTTTGGCCTGGATTTTTAAAATCTCATCTGACATTAGTAGTGTCACCCCTGTTGCGTGTGTTGTTGTCTGCATTTGCCTGGTATATTTTTGCTCAATTTTTTTTGAGTCTTTTTTTTTCCTTGAACTTTATTTTGAAATAATTTTAGATTGACATAGAAGTTGTAAAAATAGTGCAGAGAGTTCCTGTGTACCCATCACCCAGCTTCCCCCAATGAAAACATCTTAAATAACCACAGACCAAATGATCAAAACCAGAAAATCAGAGTTAACGCAGTACTATGAACTAAACAGTTCAAACCTTATGTGAATTTTACCAGTTTTTCCATAGTACCTGATTTGAGGCCTACTTGAAGTTAAGGGCACGGTCCTCCGGATAGCAAAGTCTACCCAAGGCTTCTGAAACCAATGGCAAGTTCAGGGAATTCCCCAAACCACCCTCAGGTTGGATAACTTGCTTAAAAAAAACCAAATTCATGGAAACCTATCATACTGATGGTCATATTTATTACAGGGAAAGGGTACAAATGAGAACCAGACAAAGGGAAGATTCTGGGAGGGTTCAAAACACAGAGCCTCTGGTTGTCCTCGTCCTGTGAGTCCTTCTAGAGAGTCACTGAGCCTGAGGGTAGTCCTGGGGACCCCTGCCACAAGTTATATGAAATTTTATTACACATGCCTATCAGTGAAACCGCCACCACAACTGGGATACAGAACTGTCCCATCACCCCCAAACTCCTTCAGGTTCTCCCTCGATAGTCACACCCTCTTAATCCTACCCTTAGTAACTTCAAATCCATTTTCCATCATTATAATTTTGTCACCTTGGGGATCTCTGTAAATGGAACCATTTAGTATGTAACCTTTTAAGACTGGATACTATCACTCAGCATAATACCCATGAGATCCATCCAAGTTGTTCTGTGTATGTTCCTTCTCATTGCTGGGGAGAATTCCAGTGTATGGCTCTACCAGTTTCTTTATCTGTTCACCCTCTTAAGGACATTTGGGTTACTTCTAAGATTTGGCTTTTGTAAATAAACCTGCCATGAACTTTCATGCACAGATTTTTGTGTGATGTCACCTTTAGGGTCAATACCTAGGAGTAGGATTGATGGTTCACATGCTAAGTGTATGTTAAAGTTTACAGGATGTTGCCAAGTTCTCCAGAGAGGCTGTAGCATTTACATCTGCGTCAGCCAACATATAAGAGTTCCAGATGCTGTGCATCCTTGTCATCACTTAGTATTGTCAGTATTTTATTTTAGCCACTTTAATAGGTGTGTAGTGTATCTCATTGTGGGTTAAGGTTGCCTTTCCCTACTGGTTAATGATGTTGAACATCTTTTCTTGTGCTTACTTACCATGGGTATGTCCTCTTTGGTGAACACTCAGTTCAAGACTTCTGCCCTTTTTCTAAAATTGAACTGTTAAATTTTGAGATGTAAAAAATATTCTGGCTCCAAGTCCTTTGTTAGATATGATTTGAAAATGTTTTTCTTTCCGTGTGTAGGTTCTAAAAAATTCTCTTAATTGTAACTTTCATGAGTAAAAGTTTTTAAATTTGTGAAATTCAATTTATCAGTTTTTCTTTTCTTTTACAGATAGTACTTTTGGTGTCATGTCTAAGAACTCTTTGCCTAATCCTCAATTCCAAAGATTTTCTCTTTTGTTTTCTTCTATGGTTTGGTCTATTGCCCATTTTTGGTTAATTTTTGTAGAAAGCATAAGAGTTTCTTTTTTGCTATGGATGTCCAGTTGTTGCAGCACATTTGTTGAAATGAATATTTTTTCTCCCTTGAATTGCTGTTGGCTTTTTGTCAAAAATAAATTGGCTATACTTGGGTGGGACTATTTCTGGACTCTATTCTGACATTGATCTGTGTGTCTGTTACTTTACCAATATTGCCCTGTCTTGATTACTGTAGCTACATAGTAAGTCTTAAAACCAGGAAATATGTTTCTTCCAACTTTTTGCCTCTTTTTCAGAATTTTAGGTATTTTATAGTTCCTTTGTCTTTTCATATAAATTTTAGAATAAGATTGTCTATGTCTTAAAAAAAGATCCTGCTGAGATTTTGATAGAAATTGTGTTAAATGTATAGACCAATTTAGGGAGAACTGATATCTTTACTATATTGAGCCTTCCAAGGCACGAACACAGTATGTCTCCCCGTTGTTTTAGGTTTTCTCTGATTTCTTTCATTGGCCTTTTGTAGTTTGCAGCACACAAACAGATCCTAAACATGTTTTGTTAGTTTAAGTATTTCAATTTGCTTCATTGTAAATGTGTATTATGTTTAAAATTTCAGTTTCCAATTGTTCATTGCTAGTATATAGAAATACCAGTGATTTTTTGTTAATCTTGTATCTGTGGCTTCCCTAGACTCACTTATTGGTTCTGGAAAGGTTTTTGTGTTTAGATTCCTTGGGAGTTTCTACATACACAGTGTCATGTGAATAGGGACAGTTTTATTTTCCCTTTAAATCTCTTTTCCAGTGCCTTTTAATTTTCTTTTCTTGCCATATTGCACTGACTAGGAATTCCAGTATTATGCTGAATAGGAGTGGTGAGGCTGGACATCTTTGCCTTGCTCTTAATGTTATGGGGGAAGCATTCAGTCTTTCATCATTAAGTATGATGTTGACTATAGGGTTTTTTGTTTTTTATTTTTTCTAGATACTTTTCATTTGGTTCAAGAAGTTTCCTTCTATTCCTAGTTCCCTGAGTTTTTATCATGAATGGGGTTTGAATGTTATGAATGCTTTTCCTGCTTCAATTGATATGATCATGTGGTTTTCCTTCTCTAGACTATTAATATGGTGGATTGCATTGATTATTGAATATTGACCTAGCTTTTCATTCTTGGATTAATCCCACTTGCTTATGGTGTCTTGTACTCTTTATATATGGCTGGATCCAATTTGCTAATATTTCATTGAGGATTCTTGTCTCTGTGTTCATGAGGGATGTTGGTCTATGGTACTGCATTTGTATGGTTTTGATATCAGGGTAATGTTGGCTTCATAAAATGATTTGAGAAGTGTTCCCTCCTCTAATTTCCTGGAAGGGATTGTGCAGGATTGTTATTTCTTTAAACGTTTGGTAAAATTTACCAGTGAAACCATCTGGCTTTGGTGATTTCCTTTTTGGGGGACGGTTTTAATGATAACTTCAGTGTCTTTGCTAGTTATACAACTACTCAGATTATGTATTATTTCATCTTCAGTGAGTTTTAGTAGTTTGTGGTTTTCAAGGAATCGGTTTATTTCATCTAACTTGAGTTTAAGTGCATAAAGTTGTTCCTGGTGTTCCTTTATTTTGGGAATATCTTGAGGGATCTGTATGATATACCATCTCTCATTCCTAATATTGGTAGTTTGTATCTTTTTTTCCCTTGGATGACCCTCTAGCAAGATTGACACTTCCACTGATTTTGTCAAAGAACTGGTTTTGATTTTTTTTTCTATTTTTGCCTTTGACTTCATTGTTTTCTGCTCTTTCTTTACTGTCTTTATTTTGGTGAACGGCCCCCTGCTGTTGATGGGTGGAGTTCTATAAAAATAAATGGAGCTAAGCTGCTTAATGGTCCTGTTTTCTCTATTACATCCTTGACGAGAAGAGCGTCTTCACTTGCATGCAGTCCAGTCGATCCAGTATATATAACACTTAGTGGCTAGCTCTTTGTGTCTTATTTGGTAAAAAGTTACCTATCCCTATTTTTTCTTTCAAAAGCTTTACTGTTTTACCTTTTACATTTGCAGTTTATCCTGGCTTGTTCTGTATGGTATAAGTAAGGGTTAAGAATACTTTTTTGTTGTTTCTATTGCAAGTATCAATTGACCCTAGTTATTTTTACTATTTTTTTTTAAATGAGAAACCTATTGCTTGGGGCAGCAATTTGCTGAAGAAGCCTGAAAAGGGAGGGAGCCACAGGGGGTGTCCCTGACTCAGAGAGAAGCCCCGTAGCAGGCTGTGTGTGTGTGACGTTATTTGGCCTTTACGTCTAGGCAGTCGCTAAAGGTTGGTAGCTGTGGGCAGTTATCACCCCTGCCCCAAAGGGGTCTTCTCCAGCCAGCCCCTTCCCTCTTTTTGTGGGGATGGCTTATGTGTGTGTCTCCTCATTTAGCTCTGGTGTCACTTGGGGCCAAGGAGCCTAGTGAGGCTGTGAATCTTACTTTGGAGGAATGTGGGCTTTGCCTGGGAGCTTCCGGGGTCCACTTTGACCTTCTTCGCTCTGTCTGGCCTGGGTGTTACCACCCGGGGCAGCCTGTCTCACAGCTCCTGTGGCTGGATGAAATGATTCACTTTTGTGTGTCAGTTTGGCTAGGCCATGGTGCCTAGATGTCTCTGGGATTTTTTAGATGTGATTAACATTTCAACCAGTAGACTCTGAATGAAGCAGATGACCATCATGTGGGCGGGCCTCATTCCAATCAGTTGAAGGCTAGAAGACTGAGGTCCCCAAGAAGAAAGGAACCCAGACCCGAGCCCTGCAGTACCAGCTCCTTCCTGAGGCTCCAGCCTGTCGGCCAGCGCTGGAAATGTCGGACTCCCTGGCCCCGACAGTCACGTAAGCCAACTTCTTAACACAACCGTCCTTCTCTTTGTCTCCTCTCCATCCTGTTGGTTCGATTTCTCTGGAAAGCCCTGCGTCGGGGGTGGGTTATAGCTGTGGCCTCATTTCATGAAAGATGGAGTTGCATTTCTGGTTCTCTGTGGTGGTTTTTGCCTGGCCACAGACATCCCTGCCCTGCCATCTTTCAGCTGGAAGGGCAGACACGTGTTAAGAACAGTCTTGGGGCCAGTGGGAAAGAAGCCTCAGGCTGGGCGGACATATTCTGGTTCCTGATTCTGGAGGGAAAGGCCACGCCTTGTTCAGCCTCAAAAGCCGAGGCCTTTGCTTAGGCTGTTCAGGATGTGACTGACTGCCTCTTGCCACATACGTGGTCATGAACATGAGGTTGTGCATTTCCCACCCGGCCACGTGTAGGAAAGGGCTGATTAAATCCATCAAAATAGTCATCATTAAAAATACCGAAAGCCCCCGTTTTACGGATGAGGAGATGGGGCCTCAGTTGGGCAGTGTGACCAGAAGCCTGGGTCCTGCCCTCTCCCCCACCCCCACCTTCCCATCCTACCAGGGGCTGCACGGCACCACGCTATGGCACAGGTATGTAGCCAGACGTGGTTAATAAAAATCATTGTGATTTAATAAATAGTGAGGTGTTTCTGTGCAGGTCCTTCACTGTTTGTCCCAGGGCCTGGCGGGACACAGTGGTGGATGGACGCAAGGCTGAGCCCAAGCTCCCCGCCAGTTTCCCAGGAATAGCCAGGTGAGTGACCTGACGCCACGGTGTCCTGAAAGCACCTCTCGGAAGAGGTGGGACAGGGGGAGGGCCACAGTCACATAAAAATATAAATTTAGGGGAATTTTACATGGGTCGGGGTCCACTATACATCTTCCTGGTGGATCTGGGCTTTCTGGGCTCTGGAGCAGAATTTTTCACATAGTTTGAAGAGCTCTGACAAAATGAACACGGAGGAGGCCAATCCAGTTAAAAGCAATAGATCTGCCAACAGGTGAAGAGAGAAAAAGGTCAGAGAGTGCAAGCTGGCCCCTCTGGTCCCCAGCCCTGTGCTGCCCAGCACCGGAGCCCAGGGGGCCGCGGAGTTCCGTTCCCCGTGCTTGGTTCGTTCTGAGTCACAGAGGCAAGGGGCCAGGACCCGGGAGCCAAGGACCGGACTTTCCACTGTCCTGATGGGGCAGAGATTTCCCCAGCCCAGCATCCAAAACGCTGCAGAGCCAGCTCCACCAGGACCAGCTGGTCTTTGCAGGCGGCTCAGAGCTGGGGGGCGGGCAGGCTGCAAGCCTCAGCTGTAAGGAGACCGTTCCTTGGGCAGACGTCCCGGCCACGGCTCAGGCTCCCAGTCCCGCCCGACTCCAGCTAGTTCTGACCCCTACATTCTCCCCCTGAGCCTTTTCTGGGCTCCCTGCTGTCAACGATGCGTGACGGACATAGTGCCCGGCACAGGCCCTGCACTTCCTTTAGACTTGGGAAGCTTCCTGAATTCCCAGTGGATGGAAACATCTGTAAAAAAACATTTTTAGGTTTTTTTCCTTTCTCCGTACCCTCAGGGACCCTGCTTTTTAGATTTTTGGGGAAGGAGAAGCGGAGGGTTCCCAGTCTTGCCCAAAGGTTTTCAGTGCCCTTGTCTCCACCACCTCGGAGGCTGCTGAGCATTTCATGATCCTGGGATGTGCCCCGCCCTGTGCTCTGCCTTGGAGGCTGCCCTGGGGGGCTGCCTCCCCAGCCCCCTCACACTCTGGCTCCCCAGTGGGGTCTGGGATTGCTGACGGAAAGCTGGGTCGGCGGTCGCCCTGGTGCTCTCCCTGCACTGCTGCTCTCCAGGCCACCTCCTCCCACTCCTGGTCCCCGTCAGCACCGTTTCAGGCAGAGAAGGCCAAGCCACGCGGCGCAGCTTCCGAAGAGAAGCCTGCTGAAGATGCGGGGCAGTCCCCGGGGTGCCCCACGTGGCATGTGTGCTTGGGGCCCAGACAGCTGTGGTCATTGCATGTGGCCCTTTCAGCAGGGACTACCAGCTGGCCCACTCCTGCCTCCAGGTAAGTGGGTCCCAGGGACACAGGCCCTGTTCAAACCCCAACAGGGTAACCACACTCCTAAGCTGGGGCAGCACATCACAGGCTGAGCCCAGACTGTGGTCCATCCTGGCGCTGCCCCTGGGCCTCACCGTCCCTGCTCTGAGCCTCCTGCTGTGGGGAGGGGGTGGGCCGGGACGTTGAGACCCCTGTGCCCTCCCCTGACTCCTAGCAGGTACCCCCGTGTTTCCCGCCTTCTCCACTCCCCCCATCGCGTCGCCCCCTCCTACCCAGTGCAGATGTCCAGGAACGAGCCCAGTCCTTTGGGGACAGGATGGCCCCACGCAGGGACTTTACGCCCCGGAAAGGTCTGCAGCTGCCCCGTGCATGCGGCAAGGACGGCTGTGGTCCCGGGTGACCCCTCCCACTCACCGAGCGCCCCCAGGTTCTCCGTCTGGAAGACCTTCTGCAGGGGCGGCAGGTATATCACTGCTAGCTGCCCCAGGACAGAACCGAGCACGGAGTAGAGGAACGTGTGGTTCCTGAGGAAGCCGATCTCGGATATCAGCTTGGTCTGCAGAGAAGAAGGGCACAGTTGGGGCACAGGAGCCGCCCAGAGACGAGGGCCAGGAAAGCGTGAGCTGGGGCAGTGGGGGCTCACCTGGGAGCGGCAGGTCAAGGCGTTGAAGAGGTCGAAGAGCACGAAGCAGGTGAAGGTCATGGTTGTGGTACGTGGGGTGCTTGCCTTGTCTTCGGGCATCTGGAACACGAGTGCACGGGGTGAGAAGGTGCAGGGGAGGCGGGGACCCTGTCCTCAGGACCCCTGTGTGAGAGCTGACAGATCTGTGCCTCTCTCCCCCGCCTGGCTGAGCACACGCGCTGGACAAAGGTGGGGGCCTCTTCCACCTTCTGGGCCATTGAGGATGCAAGAGCCCAGCTGCTCCTTGGGGGTGGTGTGGGGAACACCTGAGAAAAACAGAGCTGGGGGCTGTCTGGCGCCCCATCCCCCCTCCCGCACATGGGCGAGCTGGGGTTTAAACGCCTGGACGATCACCTGCCTAATTCTCTATCTAGCTCACCGGCCGTGTCAGCACAGGGGCTGTCTGAACCTGCAGGCCATGGAAAGGTGACGCATAGTAAAGATCCCCTACAGCGAGAACAGACGGCCTCTTCAGTAAGTGGTGCTGGGAAAACTGGACAGCTACATGTAAAAGAATGAAATTAGAATGCTCCCTAACCATACACAAAAATAAACTCCAGATGGATTAAAGACCTAAATGTAAGGCCAGACACTATAAAACCCCTAGAGGAAAACACAGGCAGAACACTCGGACATAAATCAGAGAAATGTCTTCTTTGATCCACCTCCTAGAGTAATGAAAATAAAAGACAACCCACAGAATGCGAGACAATATTTGCAAACGAGGCAACTGACAAGGGCTTAATCTCCAAAGTATATAAACAGCTCATACAGCTCAATATCAACAGAACAACCCAGTCAAAAAATGGGCAGAAGATCTAAATAGACATTTCTCCAGAGAAGACATACAGATGGCCAAAAAGTGCATAAAAAGATGCTCAACATCACTAATTATTAGAGAAATGCAAACCAAAACTGTAAGCGATAACACCCCACACTGGTCAGAATGGCCATCATCTAAAAGCCTACAACAATAAATGCTGGAGAGGGTGTGGAGAAAAGGGAACCTTCCTACACTGTTGGTGGGAATGTAAACTGGTAGAGCCACTATGGAGAACAGTAGGGGGGGTTCCTTAAAAAACTAAAAATCGAATTACCCAGACAAAGCTATAATTTGAAAAGATACCTGCACCCCTATGTTCACAGCAGCACTACTTACAAAAGCCAAAACATGGACGCAGCCTCAACGTCCATCAACAGAGGAAAGCATAAAGAGGTGGTACATACATACAATGGAATATTACTCAGCCAGAAAAAAGAGTGAAATAATGCTACCTGCGGCAACGTGGACCTGGAGCTTATCATACTAAGTGAAGTAAGCCAGACAAAGACAAATATATGCTATCACTTATATGTGGAGTCTAAAAAAAAATGATACAAATGAACTTATTTACAAAACAGACTCACAGACTTTGAAAACAAACTTATGGTTACTAAAGGAGAATCGTTGGCAGGGAAGATAGATTGGGAGTTTGGGATTAAATTATACACACTACTACTACATGTAAATAATCAACAAGGACCTACTGGGTAGCACAGGGAACTCAGTATTCTGTAATAACCTATAAGGAAAAAGATTCTGAAAAAGAATGGATACATGTATATGTATACCTGAATCACCTTGCTGTACACCTGAAACTAACACAACATTGTAAATCAACTCTACCCCAATATAAAATAAAAATGAAATAAAAAATAAGATCTCGAGCTTCCCTGGTGGCGCAGTGGTTGAGAGTCCGCCTGCCGATGCAGGGGACACAGGTTCGTGCCCCGGTCTGGGAGGATCCCATATGCCGCAGAGCGGCTGGGCCTGTGAGCCACGGCCGCTGAGCCTGCGTGTCCGGAGCCTGTGCTCCACAATGGGAGAGGCCGCAGCGGTGACAGGCCCGCATACCGCAAAAAAAAAAAAAAAGATCTCCCAGTCACCTCCTGAGAATAAGACAGGAGTTTCATTTTACTAGATGTCAGATTGTTTCCTGGGAATAATACAAAGCAGGAGAGGCACTGTGTCCCATTTAGGAAAAAATCTGCCGCCTTTTCTCTGCCTGTGAGGCCTCACGTCCCTTCCACCCGGTCCCACCTCTGCAGCGTCAGCTTGCAGTCCCTCCCCCTCGCTCTGCTGCCCCCTCTGCTGCACGTGTGTTTGTCTCCCCCAGCCACGGCACCTGCACCCCTGGGGGCCGGGACCACACCCCTGCCCCGCGTCTGCCACCACACAGACCCGCTGGCCAAGCCCATGAGGACTCCCCCACCTCTTTCCAGAAGATGAAGAGGGTCCCGCTGATGATGGTGGCGGCCGACAGGAGGATCTTCAGGATGAGGGCTCTGCCGAGTATCATGTCCTTGATGTTCCGTGGCGGCTGCCTGAGGGTGTCCCTGTCGACCGGCTCTACCCCCAAGCTGCTCGGAACAAAACCGGACGCTTGGAACTAAACCACTGAAAAGACGCGCAGTGGTTAAATGCGCGAGGCCACCCGGCAAAGTGACGCACAAAGGGTCCACATCGAAGGCCTGGACGGGTGTGGGCAGTGCCTCCAGGTTGTTCCCCGGCCCCTCCTGCCTCACGTCCTCTGCTCCGCCGCCACAGCCTGGACCCCACCAGCAGCCCAGCAGCTCCACCGCCCTCCCGCATCCCCAGCCATGAGTTCGGTGACAGAAGACCATGCCTGTGGCCGACCACGTGGTCCTGAATGGTGCCCGGTCATTCCCCGTCACCTCGGAGGCCCCCGCCCCCAGCTCGGGCCTGGCCTCATCCGAGCTGGCCTGGAGAAATGGGATCCAGGCCCTGCCCACTGAAGAGCCCCCCAGCAACTGAGGGGACCTGCCTTCAGCCAACTCAAAGGCAGCGGGATTGGGGCTAGGCCCGCAGTGGATGGTGTGGGGCACCAAGGAGGGAGCAGGCTGGGGGACGCCCACACTGGGCAGATACGGCTGGGGTCCAGCTTTGCTCGCGGCCCCGTTCCCAGGGAGAGCACGCATAAGAGGTGGCCCTCTCGCTGGGCGTGTGGGCGGGGAGCAAAGCCGTCACCGGTGGTGATTAGATTAGTAACTAACAATTCAGCTGCATGGAGAGCAACACCGCTATGTGCTCAGACACAGGGAAGTGCCTCGCTTGCTCACACCGGCCTCTCTGCCTCCAGAGCCCATCCTTCCTCCTGCATCATTCACTCCGTTAGCCTCACGCTCCCTCCTCATTCACCCAGCCAATAACGTCCTGAGCACCTAGTGTGTGCTGGGCACCATTGTAGGAGTCGGGGATCCTGCAGGGAACAAAAAAACCTTGCCCCCAGGAAGCTGACATCCTAAAGAGGAGATGGATTATGATCAGATAAACAAGGAAATATGTTCCCCTCTAGGCAAAAATAAAGCAGGGTAAGGTGACTGGGAGGGAGGAGGCTGCTGCTAGAGAAATCAGGGAGGACTTCTTGGAGGCAGTGACCTGAATGAAGAGAGGGCTCGAGCCATGCAGGTAGCTCAGGGAGAGCATTCCAGGCAGAGGAGCAGAAAGTTCATCGTCCCCCTGCCCGCCCACCAGACGCCTCCTACTGTGCCTGCTGCATTCCCCTTGCCGTCTCCCCTGCACGCTCCTGCCAGCACGCTGCCTTACCTCTGCGCCGGCGGCCCATCCATGATGATGTTGATCCACAGGATCTGCATAGCATTGAGGGGACTGGGCAGGTTGCACACGGTGGACAGAGTGATGAGGCTCAAGGCTGAGATGCTCCTGCAGGGCACACACAGGGCACTGTCACGAGCTGCTCCCAGACCTGGCACACGGGGGGACGCCGGCCTCGACTTACGTGCTCAGCTGAAATCGGACAAAGTTCTTGATGTTATGAAAAATCCCCTTGCCTTCCTCCACCGCATCCCTGCAAGAGAGGAGAAAGAATTTATTCACCAAGACGGCCGGGAGAGAAGGGTCAGCCAGCTCCCGTCACCTGCTAAAGGAAGCGACGGTGTCACCAAAGGTCACGTTTCTCCTTGGTGGCATTCTTGGGGAATCACCAGTAGAGGATATGCTGATGTCCTAACAGGTGCCTTCAGCCACTGGGGGCTGGTCGCCAAGCCACGATCGCCCTTCTGTCCAAAGACTGTAGACCATTCTCTCGTCCGAGCCCTGGGACCCCAGCCCTCACCCAAGGCTCCTGAAGTGCCTCCTGCCCCTCGGTGATCCACCAAGGAGAAGGAGCCCCCGTGGCCCTGCTTTCCATGAGAGGCGGGGTGGGCCTGGGGACACCGTGTATATCCACCACAGCAGAGGAGGGAGCTGCCACCCCAGGCATTTTTGCCACCAAAGAAACATCTAAAGAGCAGCTTACATGATGGCTGAGAAGTCGTCGTCCACCAGGATCATGTTGGCGGCCTCCTTGCTGACGTCCGTCCCCGTCCGCCCCATGGCAATCCCGATGTCCGCCGACTTCAGGGCGACTGCGTCATTCACCCCGTCCCCCGTCATGGCCACGATCGCCCCCGACTCCTGCAAAGCCTTTGGAAAGAGGAGGCCAGTGGAGGCCTGCAGACTGAGGACCTTCCTTCCAGATCCTTCCCTCCTCCTGCCCCACCTCTCACACTGAGTGGTCCATGGCAAAGGCCCCTCTCTAGAGGGCACTGGGGTCAGCTGGCCCGGGTCTGAATCCCAGTTCCCGCCGTATGAGCTGTGGGCACTGGGCAAGCCCTGAACCTAACCTCAGCTTCTCTATCTGCAAAGTGGGAGCACGGTCCCTCCTTATCACGGCTGTTGTGAGTCCTAAACTAAGAACACAGAGGGAACAGTGCCCGGCACAGAGCGAAGGCGTGAATGTGTTATCCGTCACCGCGCCAACTAAAAACTGTCGCTTGCCGTCTGGTTCTACAAGGTCGAAGTCACTGGCCACTGCAGCTGCTGACCTTCCACACCCGCTGAAAGGAGTTCAGGGCGGAGATCGGGAACGAGGGAAGAACTGGCAGAACAAGCCTTCAGATGGTTAGCTGTTTCCAGGAGCAGATTTTATGCGCCCAGATTCGTACAACTTTTCGTATCTAGAAAAGCACTAAAATCACTAACAGAGACGTCTGCTCCTCGTGGCCAGGAGCAGCCTTCTGCCAAAACATGTGCATGACTGCTGGTACCGCCTTCACTGAAGTCACATACATACCCCACCCCCTACCTCTTCGGAGTGGCCCCTCAGAGCCCCTCAGAGCTGAGATGCTGTCTCCCCAGCTGTAGTTTTTTTTTTTTTTTTTTCTTGCGGTACGCGGGCCTCTCCCGTTGCGGAGCACAGGCTCCGGACGCGCAGGCTCAGCGGCCATGGCTCACGGGCCCAGCCACTCCGCGGCATGTGGGATCTTCCCAGACTGGGGCACAAACCCGTGTCCCCTGCATCGGCAGGCAGACTCTCAACCACTGCGCCACCTTCAGGGAAACCCTGTAGTCCTCATTTTGCCCCCAATAAAACTTAACTCACAACTCTCACGGTGTGCTTTTTTTTTCAGTCAACAACCATTAACAAATAATAATCAACTCGTCCCCTGAATCCATGTGGTACCCAATAAGTATTAATATTTTCTCTGAGGAATGACTGGCACACAGATTTACTCTGTAGAACTAAAAATCCCCAAAATGACACAAAAGAAAAAACACAAGTGTTAAAGAACAACTTTTCAAAGCATCCATGTGTGGAAAACCACACAGGAGTCTCTTGTTCTAGTCCTTTCGTTTTTGATGCACCATCAGAAGGCACCTGCGGTGGGCCAGGCAGCTGCCAAGGGCTTCACAGGCTCAGCTTCGTTTCTTTCTTTTTTTTTTTTGGCCGTGCCATGCAGCATGTGGGATCGTAGTTCCCTGACCAGGGATTGAACCCGCACCCGCTACATTGGAAGCGTGGAGCCTTAACCACTGGACAGCCAGGTAAATCCCCTGGCTTCGTTTCGTCCTCTCCTGCCTTGTGAATTAGCTGGTGTCATTCTGTCATTCACATTATCCCCATTTTACAGATGAGGAAACTAAGGCCTGGAGTTAAATAACAGGAATACGCCAAGGAGCACCCGACTAACGAGGGCTAGCCTCTGCGCTTCTCCCTTTGCACCACCCAATTCCCGCTCCCCGCTTTTGGTATACGTGGCACGGGGCCCCCAGTTCTCCCCTCCCCAGAGGCCAGTGCAGAGGAGGCGGCCACCACAGGGCCCTGGACCACCTTGTGAGCAGAGCCGCCACCGCCCTGGGCTGTGCCCTGAGGGACCAGAGAGGCACACAACTGACCTTGATGATTTTGAGTTTGTGCTTTGGGCTGGTCCTGAAGAAGACAGACACCTGGATACAGAGACGGGAGAGGGCCGAGCATCAGTGAATGAGGAGGTGGCACCTTCACCCCATGCCCCTCGGTGGCGAGCCTCGGGAGGACCCCACCTTCCCGACGCGTTCGGCCAGCTCGCCCTGCTCGGCGCTTTCCACCTCTTCCCCGGACATGGCGCTCAGCTTCCCGTTGCACAGGCCTATGTTTCTTCCTGCAAGGTGTGGACAGTCCCTTCTGAGGGCCCGAGACTGTGGTCCCTGCACTTGCCCCTCACTCCACCTACCTGACATCAGGCCCCGCCTTGGCCACAGGGAAAAACAAAACCACGGTGACCCCAATGAGAGAGCCCCTGCTATGGTATCTGACCTTAATTCCATCCACAGAATGAACTGGCAACAGAGGCCTCTTATCCCCACTCTAAAGATGAGGAAACAGAGAGCGGTGACTTTCCCAAGGTCATAGGGCTAGTAAGTGCTAATACTGGACCTGACATGGTTCTTTCTGTCTGATTCCAGAGTCTGTGATCTTTCCATGGTGCCAGGCTGCCTCAAGACAGAGGGGGAAGAAACCCAAGGTGTGGCAACCGTGCTAACAGTAATAATAGGAGGAATAACAGGAGGAAGGTTGCTAGCCCTCTGCTGATGAAAAGCCTGAGGGTCAGAGTGGCTCAATGATTTGCCAAGGGCACACCGCTACTGGCAGAAGCCAGACTGGAAGTGTGCACGGGCAGTGATGCTGCCTGTGGAGATGAGGTGAGATCATGGGTGGAAGGCCCCAGGGCAGAGAAGGTTCTTGGTGCACACGAGGTCTTTTCCTCTTTAGGAGAACCTGCCAACATTTTAGAGACAAACACCCACTCGGAAGGTGGGATGCTGGTCCTCGAACCTCAGAATCTCTTCCAAGCACGTGGGAGGTAGGTGTGAGCTCTCCTGACCAGGTCCCTCGAGGAGTAAGCAGTGGTAGCGACCCTCACCCTCCACCCCATTCCCTGGTTACCTATCGCCAAGGCCGTCTCCAGAGCATCTCCCGTTATCATTTTCACGGACAAGCCCGAATCAGAGAGAACGCGGACCGCTTCCTCCACGCCAGCCCTCGGAGGGTCGATGATTCCGATGAGACCCAGGAACGTCAGCTCCCCCAGCTCAGGCCCAGAAGCCAGGGCCAGCACTGCGGACAGAGCAAGACCCACAGAAGGTTCAGAAGATTTTCGTCCCCAGTCAGCCCCAGCCCCACCGTGTCCCAGACCCTCTTCTGTCCGCGAGGGGCTTGGGCACTAAGTCCCTGGACCACAAAGGGGAGGGACGATCTTCCCAGTGGTCGTCAGGCCCGTGCAGGGCAGCGGTTGTTGACGGCTCACCCACGATGGAGAGCAGGGCAAGTAGCAACAACCTGCCCAGCGGGAGACGGGCCTCTGTCTGCTGGTGGTGCAGTCCCCACGGGGAGTGGCCACGAGCACACCTGTGGGCTGGCACATCAGGGCACATTTCTGATGGCCTATCTGTCATTGCTCTGCCCTCCTCTGTCATTGCCAGCAGACTCGGGGCGACAGCTACTAAGGTCAAGAAAGACATGCAGGAGGCAACACGGGTCAGAGGACTCTGTTTCAGGGGCACAGAAGCCAGACCCGGCTCTTGGGGACAGGTGCTCTGAGAGGGGGTGGTGTGAGAACTGACCTTACTGATACTGGAGGGGAGCTATGGCCAACAAGTTCCAGCTGTGACCCCTCAGTCATGACACTGTACCAGTGATGCAGGGGGGTGTGCCAGCGATGCGGGTACCATTCCCCCCTTTCTCAAAGCAGCCCTCCCTGCCCTGCCAAGCTCAGCTCTGTCCCGACATGTCCTCACCTTATAGGCTTGTCAGTTTATAATTACTGTCCCCTGAAGGGGAAAACTAGGCCAACTGAAACCAATACAGGAAGCCAACGCTTCTCACTTTCCCCTGAGGGAATACATGTGTTCCAGAGTGTTTTCAGACATTTTCTCCGAAAACGGACAGGCTGACATATGACACTACGGGAAACATGAGGTTTAATGTTCAGCCCATCGGGGAAGGCGTTGGCCCTGGTGCAGAAAATTGGAAATGGCCAAGGAATGAAATGTCTGTATTAATTTTCAAGAGCTTTGTGTTTTCCTGACAGCGAGCCGTGAGCAGGACGACCAATCGGGAAAATCATTGTTTCAGGGGCGGCCTGTTCACCTGTCTTAGAAAACTCAGAACCTCTTCTTGCACGCATGAGCTGCGTCTGGGATAACGGGTGTCATCTGGCGGCTGAGATGGGTGGGGGTCTCCCTATCTTTCATCTGCCCAAGAGAGTCCACCCTGGCTTTGCTTGCATTAGCATCCTGCCTGACACCGCTGTGATCATCACTGTGTTGACTCGGGACCCTGCGTTAATACACTTGAGAAGTCAGTGTTAGTTGCAAACTTAGAGCTTGGGGCTTGGGACCACAGGCACTGACCCCGCAGGCCGAGCGACCCCATCCTCTTCTCCTCCTGCTGGCAGAAGGCTCGCTGCTGGGGCGTCAGCGGCAGGGGGATACCCCCATGGTTGTACATGGTACAGTAACGAATCACTTCCTCGAAGGCCCCCTTCATGAAGTAGATGTCTTCCTGCTCCTTGGAAAAGACAAAAGGAAAAAAATCGGCTGACACTGGCTGCTTCAGCTCTTGGTGACCGTCACCTCATCCACACAGAGATGTTCACGGCGGGGTTATTTATCCCGGACCGTCACTGTTCACCAATACAGGACAGGTTAGAGAAGTTACAGGAAATCCATGTGATGGAATACCTTGCAGCCCAGAGAGGGGTGAGGCCGATCTCTGACCCAACCCAGGCCTGCCCTACATCGGACTCCCTGGTTAATGTCACTCAGAGTATCTGCACTGGTTATAGCCCAGCCATTGCTGTGTCTTCAAGTGTGTGACTGACCACTAGATGTCTATTTCAGGGAGACTTCCAAGCAAGGCAGGCACCATGAACTTGGCCCATAAGAATGAACCCAAATGAGCAGCTGACCCGTTTCCTCTGCATTTGTTAAGCGCCAGGTGCCTTGTCAGTGTGGGTCACACTGTAACCCCGGCACGAGCGCAGCGCCTTCCTGCTTGCAGTGGGCAGCGAATGAGCTTGTGCAAACTGACACGGAAAGCTGTCCAAGACAGCACTTAAGGGAAGAGAGCAAATTACCCACACTGTATACGGCATGACCTTCTTTTGAAACTACCACCCCCCGTGTTGCATTCGTACATTTAGAACCTGGAACACTCTATCTCTGACTGCTAAGGGGTGTCAGCATGGGTGGAAGTGGGGAGGGAGAAAGGGGCAGAATTGTCGTGAGCTTGCATTTTTGAAGTGACATTTCTATAATTTTTTTCAATGAAAATATATTACCATTGCCTTTGGGGGGAAAATAAGATTTGAAGGTATTTGAAGGTATCTTAAGCACCCGGAATTTATATGCCTGTCCACTCATGGCAAAGAGCTGGGATAAGCTGGCCGAGCTACCCGCCACTGTGAATGAGACGGGGAATCTCAGCATGGGCAAGACGTGACATATTCCAGAAAGAGCAGGACGTTTGGAGAAAAAGGTAGAAGGCGATAAAAATCTCTTAAAAAAAAAAAAGTTTCTTCATTGTAGAAAATCTGAAAAGCTACAGAAAATTTAAAAAGAAAAAAGTGGCGGAAAAACGGCGAATCCCCCCACCCAGGCACAGCTAGTAGGAATTTGGTACCTGTTCCAGGTACCCAGGCACAGCTAGTAAGAATTTGGTACCTGTTCCCCAGGTGGCCTAGAACCTATGTGTGCACACACGTGCGAGCCCACTGTCCGCACCATCTATGGTGGATGCTGGGGTGTGTGCCTGGATCCCCCTTCAGGATGAAGGCTCGTTCCCCCGTTGTGAGTTACGTGAGATCATGTGTGTAAAGAACTCAGCACAGGGATGCGAAAGAAGGACCCTAAGTTAGCAGTGGGGTCAGTGTCACCAGTGGGAACGTGCAGTCACTCCAGTAGTAATTACTCAGTCATTGTACTGTAGGCGAGTCTCACACGTGAATTTGTATCAGAATCCCCGGCAGACACAGATGACCGGGTCCCAGCCCTGGAATTTCTGAGTCAGTGGGTCTGGGGCGGAGCCTGAGAATCTGCATTTCAAGCGAATTCCAAGGTGATGCTTCTGCGGGTTCAGGGACCCCACTTTGAGAACCAGAGATTCAGATGACAATCTCAGAAGAGGACCCAAGGTAATCAAAGGTTTACTTGCCATCAACTGTACTTTCACGTATTTGGAAGCTCACAGAAGTAGCCAGGAACTTTAAACTCTTCTGACGTCTGCATTTTGCTTTGCTGGAAAGGGGCAGAGAGGCAGACTCACCTCATTCCTGGGGCTGCATTGAACCGCCATCCACTTCTGTTCCGAACTGAATGGAATCTCTTTTTTTCGCATGTATGAATCTTTAATATCACTTAAGCCCATCTAGGAAAATAAAATGGGATGTTTTCAGTGAGTCATCCTAAACCAATCTCTATGCAAAGCTCAGTCCCTTTAAATTATTCATTATTCAAACCACCTCAGGCAGATGAGAAATCCAAGCGTTTAGCACACAGAGAAAAGCCATTTGCTTTCAAACGTCCCACGGGAAAAGAAGTCAATCTCTCTTTTCTCTTGTCCCAGGGGCAGAGCCTGATGGCCTCTGCCACAGCGTCTAGCTGGAACCTGTGGGGTTTCTTGCTGGGACGAATGTTTCAGACTTGAAGAGGCGGCAAAAGGAGCCCTGGGAAGTGGGGCGCCTGCGGTCACCACCTGGGGTCCCTGCCAGGCCTCACATTCACTCGCTCTTTAATGGCTTTCAGGCCAGTTCCTTGACAGCTCTGAGCCTTGGTTTCCCCAGTTGTAAACCAATCCTAACCCGTGCATCCCATCGCCCCCCAAGGGGTGAAAATGGGTTCTTAGGGGGTGAAAAAAATCTCCTTTATGTATAAAGCAGACACCCATACAGTACAGGAACATACTATTGGGCTGACAAAAAAGTTCGTTTGGGTCTTTCCATAATAACTGCGGTATTAAAATCTCATGGGGGGAGTGATCAGGGAAAAAACATCTAAAAAGTCTCCTTAGGGGAGTGTCATCGGTTGCACTGTGTCCCTCAAAGACTTACGGAAGGTGTAATTCCCCAGTGCCTGCGAACAGGATCTGATTTGGAAATAGGGTCTTTGGAGGTGTAACGAAGTTAAGATGAGGTTGTTGGGGGAGCCCGCGACGGCATGACCGGTGTCCTTGCAAGAAGAGGACAAGGCCACGTGAGGACCTCCCTCACTCAGACAGGACCGAATTATGCTGCCAGTGTAGCTCCGAGAGAAAGAATTCCCCACGCAGACGCCACAGACCTCCTACCTTCATTGCCAGGGCCATCAAGGCGCCCTCCGTGGGCTGCCCCATCATGGCGTTCTTTCTGATGGTGGCGTTGTTGGCGACACAGCCTGCCTGGAAGGAGAGGTGTCCGAAGGTCGTTTGTTAGTGTTTGGAGCTGCACCCGCCGGGGTCCCGGGCTTACTCAGGCACGTGAAAAGGTGCAGCCCTGAACGCTGCACCCGTTTTCAGAGCTGGGGCTGGCATGGGGGCCAGGGACAAGTTTACTCTTCAAAATTCATCAGTCTCAAAATGCACACGATTAATATTCACTGACTCTGTTGAATGTGGGTCGTCACACAGCTGTCATGAGGAACTACAGTGGGGAGGCAGGCGGACTGGGGGGTCACGCGTGTGCGGTGATGGCCAGTGCCTGCTAATGGGGACGGGGTTTCTGATTGGGGCGACGAAGCATCCTGGAATTAGATAGCGGTGATGGCTGCCCAACCTTGTGGATATACTAAAACCCACTGAACTGTACACTTTAAAGGGTGAGTTCTGTGATGTGCGACCTACATGTCAATTTAAAATAATAACATAGACAAAAAGAGCACGGGGGTGAATCCCGGCTCCCTCCCACTCACTGGGGGACCTTGGGCACTCACGCTACCTCTCTGAGCCCCCGTTTTTTTTTTGGCCGGTGCTGTGCATGCCAGCACGCCGTATCTTAGTTCTCCAACCAGGGACCGAACCTGTGCCCCCTGCATTGGGAGCGCGGCGTCTGAACCACAGGACCGCCAGGGAAGTCCCGAGCTCCCATTTCTTAATCTGCACAACTGAGATAATGGGGCAGCCCTCTCAGGGCTCTGTTAATTGTCACCGTGGAGGTGGGACCTGCACGGAGAGGATGGTGGTCAAACTTCTCGTGGGGAGGGGACGTGAGCTCCTGCGAGGATAGGTATGGCTCACGTTACAAGTACTGATGGTCACAACAGGCAGCGTTCATCCTGTGCTTGTTTCCCAACATTCACGGAGCCCCTTCCCTGTCCAGCAAGCAAGGGGGGAGGAAGGGGCTCCCAGCTTTTCCCTTACGACCCATATTTCCATCTGTATCTGGGCCGCCGTGACAACCTGACCCCTGGGCCGTGGCCCGGTCATCACCGAGAACCAGCTGGTCCAACTGCTGTCTCTCTTTCCGGAGAGAGTCCCCATTAGCTCTGTTTTAAATGCATGTTTACTTTCACGGTGGCGCTTTTGACACTTACCTCCACTAATTTCCCCACTGAGATGTTGGAAAACTGCTTAATGACTTCCTTTGAGGGTAAAAGGCAGACAGTCCCTTGGCCGTTGTAGCCAACTCCGCTGACCTACAGGGCAAAGGCAAAAAACGGGGTGTCACTAGGAGGCAAAAAGACGCTTCCCCGGTTGACCCATATCCCTTTCTGGGGATCCATCCCCAAGGACACGGTCCCACCACGAACACATCTCCAAGCGTGAAATGTCCCCTGCGGGATTACGTATTAGTCAGATACCTCACCAGGTGCCGTGCTTCAGTAAATTGCAACAGGGCATTCTTCAGCCGGTAAAAATTATGGTTATGAAAACCAAGTATTAGCATACAAGGGTGCTTATGTTCTAGAACCGGGGCGGGCAAGCTCTTTCTTGTACAGCCGACAGCAAATATCGTAGCCTTGGCAGTGATCTCTGCTGTGATTACGCTGTGGCTGTGATATGACAGGAAACACGGACAATGTGAAAACACAAGGGTGTAGCATCCTCTGCCAACCAGAGGGTGGCTGCCTTCCACCAGTCGTGTTCCCTGCTGCTACTGGTAGCAAGGAGATTGTCCAATAACCCATATTTGCTTCTTCCTTACTGTTCTCTGGAAGACTCCGTGTGCTTTCTCTGGGAAGGAAGGGGTCTGGCAGGGCACAACCTGGACTTGAACCTTATAAATTCACACGGGCTCACCTCGGCGTGGAGCCCGTCCGACGTCACAAGTTGGGTGACAGTCATTTCATTGGCAGTCAGAGTCCCCGTCTTATCAGAACAGATGACATTGCAGCAACCTGGCACAAGAAGACACCAGAGTTTATAGGAACAAGAAGTCGTCACCACCAACTCTCAGGCTTAGGAAACACCCAGGTAGAATCATCACGGCACTAAAAGGCCCATGCAGTCCAATTTGTAAGAATCCAACCAGCTGGGTTCCCTCACCTAAAGTCTCCACGATCGGCAGCTTCTTCACAATGACCCGCTTCCTGGCCATCCGCAGCACTCCCAGGACCAGCGTAACTGTGACGACGATGGGCAGACCCTCGGGAATGGCGGCCACAGCCAGGCTGGATCGAAAAGGCCAGGTGGATCACCTCGAGCACGCACTTAACGATGACGTGCATCGCACCTGGCGTTGGCAGCATGTTTACCCGGTGAAGCTTGTCCGTGGTTCCCCCACCTTCTCTGTTCTGTCCTCTGCTGCCAGTCCCATGACACACCTGCCTCCTCCTTCAGCATCCATTGCTCTGAGCTTTCCCCCTGCGAAACCCTGCTTTCCTACCAGACATCCACACTTTAGTGTGAATTACCCTGTCCCCTGTTTTGCCTATTTAAGTGCTTTTGCATTTAAATTGTCATCTATTAGAGACAAAAGGCTTGGGCCCTATGAAAGCAATTTCCGGAATCAGGCACGAAGTGGGAAGCGGAATTATTAGGTTCAGAGGGTCCTCCCTGGGTCCCTTAAATTTTACTCTAAATTGGTCTAATGGTTTAGACACTTGCTGTGAGAAGACCAGACAAGGAAATGAAAGTTGGGGGAGGTGAAGTGGCATGGCGAGGCGTTTGCCTAAGCGGGTCGTTGTGCTGTCTGCTCATCTGCTTAGGACGCCCCCCCCCAACTCTTTCTGTACCACGTGGCCCTGCCCTCCCACAGCCAAGGTTGATTGGGTT